GATCAAGCTGGTGCTGACATTGTTGCTCTTCAGGTAAATGTACAACTGTACATACATGTACATCTACACATGTGTACATAATCCCTATTTTTTAACCTTGCTTTGTTTTCCTCAACCTACATGTTTTATTTCTATTCTTTATCTACAATAAATTTTTTGTGTGCTTTGTTCCCCTTTTTTGTACATATAGTACATGTAAGGTACCCTAAAATTTCTCACCAAAATTGACTCAAAGATATCCATGTGTATACTGCACATGTACATGTATATCTTTATTTGGAAGTACATGTAGATGGGTGTAGTCCTTTCATAGAAGTAGAGCTAAAATTAAAATCTTGAAATTTACATGATTCTGTTTTACAAAATATAATTTTATTTTTTTATTCATAGGAAGTGGAGACTGATCAGTTTTATGCCTTCTTTCTACCTGAGTTGAGGAGGCTGGGATACGATGGGATATTTAGTCCCAAATCAAGAGCAAAAACAATGGGAGAGATTGAGAGGAAGTGCGTTGATGGATGCGCTATCTTCTTTAAAAAGCTAAAGTGAGTGATAGAAAAATTGGCGAGTTTGGGCTTGTTTGATGCGTTTGTAAGTACAAGTGTGGTTGATTTCAACCTTGTTCTCAGATCATTATCAAAGTAGCCTATTTTATGCCAATTATGTTGTCACTTACATGTACATATGTACTTCTTCCTTCACTCTATTCATGATCACACTTGATCACACTTGTATATCCTCACTTATATTATTTATTATTAATTTATTATTATTCTTTATTGTCACTTGTATACATGTACATGTACACATGTATGTACATGTAGTTCTCCCTCATTTTATTCATGATCACACTTGTATTTTCTCTCTCACTCTCTCATTGCTGTTTATATACATGTGCATATACATGTACATTTACATGTATGTATGATTTACCATCTATCTGGAAATTTTTACTGTAATTTTAATTTTACTGGATTAGAATTTCATAAAAATTAGATGACCCATATAATTACATGCCACATTCAATAATACATGACACAGTCTTATTTAGTAAAAATTGAATCACAGCACGATTTTAAAACAAAAATTATCTACCACACAAATTTCCTGTTCTACTGTAATTCATCGTCTTCTACTTTGTTTTGTAGGTTTGGATTGGTTGATCAATATTTGATAGAATTCAATCAGTTGGCTATGTCACACGCTGACCACGGATCAGGATCTGAAGCAATGCTCAACAGAGTCATGATACGAGATAACATCGGACTGGCAGTTTTACTGGAAGTGAAAGACCCAGCGATATCAGGCAATCCCCTCTACCCGCAACACATTGTAGTCACTAACACTCACATACACTGGGATCCGGAGTACTGCGACGTGAAACTCATTCAAACCATCATGTTCCTCAGTGAATTGGAGACGATACTCCTCCAAGCTCAGAGTGAGAGAGGAATCGGAGTGAAAACGCACTCTCCTGGAGTCCCTGGTATCCCCCTCATTCTTTGTGGGGATTTTAACTCTCTCCCAGACTCTGGCGTCCTTGAGTACTTTACGAAAGGCCGTGTACCTACCGACCATCCTGATTTCCTTGAATATAATTACGATCGGTTTTTCGAGTCCACCATTCGCTCTACGTCGACTGTACGCTCGCCAACCGGAAAACCAGAACTGAGACACCCATTTAACATAAAACGCTGTTATAGCAACGAGCACATGACGTACAGTAACTACACTTATCATTTCAAGGGAACGATTGATTACATATTTTATGGCGTCGATTTCTTCCAATTGCTCGGTGTCCTAGGTGGCGTGAGCAACGAGTGGTTGAAAAGTTATAAGGTGATTGGGTGTCCCCATCCACACTTTCCTTCCGATCACTTCCCCCTCTTCTGTGAGCTGGAGCTACTCCCACAACAGTTTTAATAATTTATTATTACTTGAAAATTTACTTATGCAAAGCCTTAAGCAATATTGACCCTGCTTTGTCTATGCCTTGTGATCTCTCCATGGTATTGACTGAGTTTTTGGTCGTATTTTATTCTTTTTACAAGTGGTTGATGCATGCATCTTATCTTTCAGGGTTTTCTTTCTCTTTAATACACACGCATACACACACACACATACATTCATTGTAACTTTGGGAGCTGGAAACTCCTTTCTTCTCAATTTTTCAATTTTGTTATTTTTGATCTCAATTATGCAATTCAATTGTTCTATGATGTATTCATCACTTTCTCTCACTGTCCCTCTCTCTCTCTTTCTATCCTTTCTGTATCGCTCAAATGCACTTGCTCTCATCATTCATTAATAGTTTTTTTCTAGGAGCTATGCATACACAAACCGTTTATTATTATTATTATCATTATTATTATTGTTATTATTATTATTATTTTGGTTGGTGCATTGTGCTTTTCGTTTGCATTTTTGGTTCTTAAAATTAATAATTCTAAAGTTTATCATACAATAATAATGACATAGTCCTTATTACTCAATCCGTTCAAGGCAGGGAGTTATTACTGTTCATTGTCTTGTGAATGTGCTGGGCAACGATGGAATTAGTTGGAGTAGACTTTGGGCAAGGCGATGGCTTGAAGACTCCACCTAAGAATTTCTTAGAGGCATCCTTGTCTCCCACTTTGGGAACAATGAATGCGTCTTTGGAATGCTCTGGGTATGGAGTAAATGTACCAGCTTTACAACCACCTATTGCTTTGGCTGGTGAGCTAGGCTGGAACGGTTTCAATTTCTCACGTTTTGGTGTAGAGGCTTCTCTTCTTGGTGGTAGTGGTCGCTTAGAAATGTATGGATTGCCATCAAAATAGTCTGCACCATGGCTACACAATTTGAATGCGCCTCCTTTACGTTTCTGCATGTCTTCTTTTGCTTCACGTTTCCTTATCTCCTTTGCTCTATTGTAAGACTCTGCAGCATGTTTTTGATAGTCTCCTATAGTGATCCTTAAATATCCATAGCCTGTTCCTTTCTTTGCTGGAGAAACAAGGAAATTCTTTCCTGGAGACCTATACTTTTCTCTTTCTCTTTTGACGGCACTGAAAGCATCAACATGAGTTGTAAAGCAGCCAAAGAAGTTACCCACTCCAGATGGGAGCTTAGTGTTGCTGGATGGTGCCCAAGTCTTTCCAATGTTCTTTTTTGACTGCTCTATCCTTTCCTTCCTCTTTATCTTTATGACATCAGTGTATGCTTCACCTTCTAATATCCTGCAGCATGAGAAAAATAATTGTGATTAAAAAATGAAATATTACACTAAAAAAAGTATTATCTTGACATGACAAATGTACACAACTATAAAATGGGGCTTTATTCTAAGTTACCTGTTAAATTTTTCAGCAAAGTATCCAGTCTGTAGTCCACATCTGCTCTTTGTTCCTCCAATTAGCATTTGTTTTCCTTGACTAGCACTGACATTAAAGGGTTTTCTATTGGGAGGCTGGTATAGATCACCAATAGTAGTGTAGCCTTGTTCTTTGAAAAGGCCAATACGCTCCATGTCAGTTTTGGTAGCCATCTCTGATCTCCTGGCCTGCTTCTGTCCTGTTCAAGACCTGTTGTCGGTTGCTAAGCAAGTGTTGGTAACCATGACTACGAACATGTGAATGGGTGTGGTTATGGGCGGTGTCTCATTAAAATGGCGGTCGTTGGTGAAGGTTTATTTCTTGATTCTGTGAAAGACGAAGTAGCTGAAGAAGATCCAGTGGCAGTTCTAAAGGACTATTTTAAATTCAGATACACTGAGAATGACCACGAGTACTTGAAATGTAGGAATAGGCGCAAAATGTAAGAATTATTATTTTTTTTTAGGTGTGGTGTAGTGTAGCATGGGTCCTTTGATTTAAAAAAAAATGTCATACCTCAATACTTTCACGTGTGCCATACATATACATGTACAGTGTGTAATGCCTAAGCCTGCCTACCCTATGCTAACTGTACTACAATGTAACTTGTAAAAGTTTTGGCTAGGACAATTATGCCATGGTAGCACCTATAGTATAACTTCTTTTTAATTGTTTATTGTATTGTTTACATGTATAATACATGTACTTGTAAGATGTGATCTTTTATGTATTGTTTTGTCTCTCAGGATGTATCAGGTACCTGTTATCAGTCCTTGGCCTCCTCCTCTAGTAAGAAACAGGAGACCAAGAGGTAGATATAAGGATCATCGTCATAGGGAGAAGGATAGGTACATTTATGCCTATGTACATATACATTATACATGTACATGTATTTTAGAGCATGCAGTAGGTTTGTGAGTTATGCATGTACATACATGTACATGTACATGCATGTACATACATGTACATGTACATGTACATGTACATGTATGAGCATGTATGTACATGCTCACAGCCACACACACGTACATTCTATATGATTATTATACATGTACATGTACACATGTAGGTATGGGTCGGACAGGTCTCATCATAGATCACTTGTATCGTCTCATGAAAGATATAATGACTGGAGTCCACCACGCTATCATAGGTCATATCGATATCGCAGGTACATTACATACTGAACAGTAGTGTTGTTTTTCTTATGCACATGTAATTCTTCTAATTTGTTAAAATGCTGGTAATTTAAAGGTGGGAAAATTTGGTGATTTGATAGCTGTTTGTCAAAATAGAACCTGACATTTTGAATCATTCAGAGTTTCCCACAAAACATGCTACATGTAAGTGAGGCTTAGTGAGCTGAATAGCATGCTTTGTGAGCTGGCAGTTAATGGCGTTTGGAGTAATTTTAAAAATTTGTAAAAATCCAATTTTGATTGGAATTACCTCAAGCTTGCTACAGAATATAAGTACATGTGTACATGTACTGTACATGTACATGTATACATGTATGTATCAGAAAAAATTATAATTCTATCCTTTTCAATTTTGGTGAAATTAGGCTGAGACCATGTAGGGGGACTTTGGCCCGATTTTTGAGCAATTTTGAAAATTTGTAAAAAAATCCATTTTTAATTGGAACAGCTGGAATTTTCTTGCAGCATGTGTCAGAAAAAAACTATAAAATTGGAGAATTACATGTATCTCCTTTTCCTTTTTGGAATGATGTACATATTGTACTGTACATGTTACATGTCAAAGACCATCTACATGTACGTGTACCCATATGGTCTTTGGTCAGATTTTTGAGCAACTTTTAATTTTGATTAGGGGGGGGGGGTTGAGAAAGAGAGGGTGAGGGAGAGAGATAGTGAATATACATGTACAGTACATGTCGTATTAGTAATATACTATTATGGTATTTTGTCAAATTTTGGAGCAACTTTAATCTACTGGCAAGAATCTGCATGAGCACTATGCCAAAATTTTTGTGGGAAACCCTGGAACCCCATTATATACTACACTTACATGTACATGACTACATGTACATGTAATGTATGTACAACAAACCATGTAGTCTCTAAAGTATAGTAATTTACCGAAATTCTTCTCTTCAAAGTTATTTGCTGTTTCGTACCCGAGAGTGCTTTTTAACATGTACGTGTACATGTACATTTTCTATTACATGTACATTTTCTATTACATGTACATGTAGACTATAATTTTTCTTCTTATAGTCGCTCACCAGGTTCTCCTCAGCATTCGCCTCCTACCTCTCACCTTTCTCATTCTTATGATCATGATCAGTTTAGATCGTCACAAGAAGATGAACTACTCTCATCCCAAGAACAGCATCAAAGAAAGAAGGAAGAGGAGCATCAAAGAGAAAAGGCAGAGTATCAAAGAGAGAAGGTAGAGCATCAAAGAGAAAAGGAAGAGCAGCCATTAGCTGAGAGGCCACAGGAGAGGGAGGAAGAGAAAGGCACTGAGAGTAAACCAGCTCCAGCCATTTCTAATTATTTTGATAGTCTAATGCTGAATATGAGAGAGAGCCCAGAGAAACTGACAGATAGTGATTTTCAGGATATACTCATTAATGCCAGCTCAGGCAGCAGCAAACCAGTTTTGCCACTTAAGAGGCAAAAGAAAGAAAAGAAGGAGCCTGCTAAGAAACAGCAACCACAAGAAAAAGCAAGTACTACAGAGACTTCTACTGCTAAGAGAAAGGTGCAGCCTGATGGACTTCTTGTTAGTCACGGAAACACAAAATCAGTCACTGCATCAATATTACGGGATGGATTAAGCGCTAATAAAACGATGGCTCTTCCACAAAGGAATAAGAAAAAAAGGACGAGAGTAATTAGTAATATCAGTGATGAAGAGGACGATGAGATTATTGATCCAGTGCAAGTTAACAATGACACAATGCAATTGAGCACTCGTTTGAGGCAGGAGGCCACTGATAGTGCTCATGGTGGGATTGGAGGAAAAGTTAAAGTGGAAGAAGGACAGCCAGGACTGAAAAGTGCCTTTTACAACCAGCCAGAAGCATTTACTGTCCATATCAATCTAAAGCATGTTAATTTGAATAGCAAAACGGAGTCATTTAATCATACCGAGACTCAACCTGTCTCTCCTACTGTTTCCCCATCAACTGCTCCTTGCATGTACTCCAGTGCTGTTACACTAGATGATTCCAATAAACATGTTGTCTTGCGTCTCTCAAAGCCAGTGGAATCTGAAACTGATGTCTTAAGCGCAAAGAAAAGTCACAAATCAAAGAAAAAGAAGAAAAGTAAAGAACATTAAATATCTGGTTGAAGTAGCAACTCTTATTATCATTTGTCATCAAAACGTTTATACAGTATGTACAATGTATCATTAATCAAATCTAATTTCTAAAATAATTTGTTATGAATGCATTAATTAATCATTGTCTGTGTGCATGGTTTTTATTCACTCTGGGATTGAATATCCCTCTGTAACCTTATCTTACACTCTTTCTTGTTGATTCTGTGTGGACTGTCATTGAAGACTTTGATGTGTGCAGAAGGATTGACAAACTTAACGTGAGCATAGCCAAGGGGTTGCTGTCTTTCTTCATCATATTTCACCTGAAAGTGAAAAAATAGAAAAAATTACATGCAGCACTTCTTAGCATACTTCTACATATCGAATTGCTCCATATTGCTTAAAGTATTGCTGTAGCATGAATTCGTCCACAGCATAATCCAGACCTTCGACAACCAAGTGGCTGTGTGCCATGTTTGTGTCTTCTTGATGCTAGTGCTGTTTACTATTATGTGTTTATAAATAGTTGGCAGGCTTGTATTATGTCAAGGGACATGATGCATTACATGTACATTTTACATTTGCATTGAATATTGCATCATGCATATCCGGGGACAGAGATTCCGTATTCAATTCAATCAGATTCCGTATACTTTTGATGGGTGTGGTCACATCACTTTTATTTTTTATTTTTGCAAATAATGGCGTTTTAGTCCTTCAAGTTTCGTGCTAAATGGGCCTCTGTCTTTGAGTGAGCAGGACTGAATATGGAAGATAGCGAGTCTTTGTACTTGTATTTCCTTGCTAGCTCACAATTTAAGGCAAGCATCGTAATACTGAGCCATGAATTCATTATATATACTCGTTTACTTTAGTCGAGCTACATCAAGACACCAGTAACTGATTATGTAGTGAATCGGAGCCAACCAAAGGACCTTCATCAGCTTTATGAACACATTCAGAGGTCACTGAAAGAAGGGTAAGCTCTATGCTTGTGTGGTTTCATTGTGTGATAAGGGCTTCAGTGACTTTGTTGGCAAAAATATTCTGCTTTTGCTAGCCTATTTGTGTGACAAGGCAAGCCCACCCCCTAAGTGATGAAGGGTCTGTTTCAAGCAATGCAGTCGATTTGTGCTTGTGCAGAGATTTATGTGTCCTTTCAAAAGTCCAAGAACAGCGTGATCAATGATTGGTTATGAAGCAGTTTTTAAAGTGTTAAGACTAAGGACTGTACAGTAGCTTCCATTTCATTTGAGTCAACATACAAGTACATGTAATACCAGAACTATGAGGAAGTGACACTGAATCATTACTAAAGGTTACAAGGCCTTTCATTGTCCAGGAGCTTCTCAAATAAACTGCATAGAAGTGCAACACTAACTTCCTGGAAGCCATTCCTTTGGGCACAGAAATCTCTGCATACATGTATGAACAAGTTGAATGCATACAATGTACATGTACATGTAGCTTAAATGAGACCTTTTGTTTGGGTTTGGCTTGTGAGACTACAATTATGCTTATTGTATCATTTTATTAAACTTACTTTCTTTTTGTAGGAGCTCGTGTTTCTCTCTTTTTCCTATTGCGGTGTATGTGGCCCCATCAAGAGGAGAGAAATCGATTGGAGATGAGAATAAGAGATGTTTTCCCTTGGTCTCTGATGAGATATGGAGGAAATTTGTTTCATCTTGTCGTGTTAATCGTGTGAAAGTGTATCTTGAAATGAGACCAACTTATGACCTACCAAAACCCTCTTCCTCTTGCTGTAAGTTAGTATTAATGCACAGTATTTGATTCAGTGCAAGTCATTCAGTTACTGTACATTGAATTACTATGTGCTGTACATGTACATTACATTCATGTACATGTACATGATGTCGCATAGTGCTTTTTGTCAATTGAAAATTGTCTTGGCAAAGTACATGTAGTACTTGTAATAACGAAGTGTGATTCGCATACATGCATTGAATAACTAATAACTGTTTGTACTGTCACCCACATTGCAACCTTTTAGTATCATTATGATTATTTGTACATGTAAACATGTATGTACACATGACTACAGTATGTGTACGTTTAATTAAATTGGCTTAATAATTGCCTACATGTACATGTACTTGATTATGAATGTTTGCTAATGAAAAGTTTCTTTCCAAAGCAATGCAGTGTCATTTGCTAGTGCACAAAGTTATGATTGGAGAGTTAATTTAACCTCTTTTTTAGTTCCTTTTCGAAATAAGGAGTTGAAGAGCTTAGATGTGGCAAGTTACTTTCCTTCTGTCCTTGAGCGGGATAATTTGAAAGAGCTAAGCAGCCTGATATTCGATGAGGATTTTTATGTAAAAGACAACTTGAGGAGAGGAGTTTGGATGCACCTCTTAGAGGTTTTTCCTCCTGAACTTAAGACCCTCAGCGATAGAGAGAAGTATATGAATACTCTGAGAAGAATTTATGATATAATGAAGGTATGGTGTTTCATTACTATGGCCCAGTGCATTTAGATGTGCATGTACATGTACATTGTAACATTGCACATGCAAGTGCTTGTAATACAAGCCAGGCCTTAATAAAATATAACAGGAAAATGATACTTTTGTAACTTGATACTATTAAGTGTAATTTACAAAGATACTGTACATGTACGTGTGTCTAATGAATCAAGCTTGACTGAATAAAGCAGTTAATGACTCATAACCTTGGGAAATCTCTATAGCAGCTTCACAAGAAACAATTATTAGTTATTACCATAAACATTAATGTGTGTGTGCCTGTACTTTACATGTATATTACAGTGTATGTACATGTACATCTATAATTATCATTGTTATGAATAAGCTATAACTACATGTAAAACACTGAAAACTATAATGACACAAGAGCCTCAAATAGCAGTCAGACATTGGACATGTTCGAACCATTTTGCTAAATTATCAGACCAAATTCTGTGTTGCTCTACCATTTTGTCTGAAACAACTTAATTTTTGCAATAAAAGCAATTTAGCACTATAACACATATCGTTTCCCACAAAACATGCTAAGTGAGCATGCTTCATGAGCTGACAAACACTACATGGCATTTGGAACAACTTTTTAAAATCCAAATTTGATCAAAATCAGCTCAAACTTTCTACACAGCATAAGAACATGTACATGTATCAGGAAAATTATAAAATGGAGAATTTTCTACTTTTAATTTTTGTCGAAATTTAGCCAATTAAAGTACACGGATTTTAGCCCAATTTTTTAGCAACTTAAAAATTTGTAAAAAAATTAAATTTGATCAAAATCAGCTGAAAGTTGATACACAATATAGAAGCATGTACATGTACATGTATATGTATCAGAAATAATTATACAAATGGAGAATTCTTTTGTGTTTTCATCTACATGTAAATACATGTACCCTGTGTTACAGTATTGGGTTTTAGGCCTAACTTCAGCTACATGTACATGTAACTTAATAATTCATCCTGTAAGAAATCCTGTCTGACCATTTCATAAAATTGTTTGGATGTAATTTAATACGTACATTGTACATGTACATGTATGTGTATGTACACTGTATTTTCTTAAATAATGTGCATGCATGTTCATGTAGAAGCAACCAGTTTAAACCAGTTTAAACTTTAAATTGTTTAGGGCAAGTTATTCTCTGAGAGGGACTCGTGGACTCCTGAAAAGCGTCACCTTTATGACAGTATCCATAGAGATGCTGTAAGGACTGATCCAACTGAAGAGTTCATTTCTGAGGAGTTCATTGAGAAGCTTGTTTCTATTGTCATGATATATACTTTGGAGCATTATGGAGTTGTGAAATACACACAGGTACAGTTTGTACATGTACATTTACATGTACAATCTACAAATGTATATGTACATGTACATATACATGTACACAAACAGTATGTACTGTAACATACATGTACATGTAATTATGGGAGAACTTGCCACTAATGTACAATGTACATGTACATGTACATTTACATGTAGTCAAGGTTTTCCACAAAGCATGTTAAGTGAGCTAAACAGTGTGCTTCATGAGCTAAATTGTAACAAGGATTTGGAGCAACTTTAAACAAGCGTAACAGGGTAAAAAATATTCCTATAATTGATTTCACCACATTGCAAGTACAACTTGGTCATTATTAAGACTTATAGAGGTTCTCTCTACCTTATAATGCTTCTAGAGAAGTGTTTAGACAGTATCTCTATGCTCTCTTGCTGTTAGAAAGCTCTTAACTTTGTCCCATGTGTAAGCCACCATTTTGTTTGCCGTGACCACACCCACTCAGGTAAAGGAGCGTGGGCGGGTGGTTGCTAAGGCTTGTTATTTCTCCAATACAACGTGTATAGAAGAAATGTAAGTGTGGACATACAAATAAATATTATATATATATATATATACATAGCGCGACGGTGAATTCAATTATAGGAACGACCTGGGGGCTTTGCCCCCAGGTCGTTAAAAATTCAATTTTGATGGGAGTGAGCTCAAAATTTCTGCGAAACATTAGTACGTATACATGTACATGTATGTATGAGACAAATTTATAAAAATGGATAATTCTCTTCTAGCCATTTTTGATGAAATTTGCTAATGGAATAGCCTTTGGTCATTGGCCTGATTTTTTAGAAACTTCAAAAATTTGTAATAAATTTCAATTTTAATCAAAATCAGCTCAAGCTACATAAGAACATGTATGTGTACCAGAAAAGAATAAAAATAGAGAATTCTCTCATTGTGGTTATTAGTCAAAATACCCTGTGCTGTTGTAGGGCCCTTGGCCCAATTTTTGAGCAACTTGACAATCCACTGACAAGAAGCTGTATGAGCACTATACCAAAATCCTGTGGAAAGCCCTGCATGTTTGTACATGTACTGTACATTGTACATGTAGCACTATGAAAGAATTTTATTTATAGACATGCACCTTTGTGTGGATTTTAGTTTACATGTACATGTATGTACATGTACATGTACATGTATGTACATGTACATGTAATTTTGGAAAGTTGTTCTAATTTTTCCTAATTATAACGTCATTATCTATTGACTTGTTTTAGGGTATGACAGATCTACTGAGCCCATTGCTTTATGTGATGGAGAGGGAGGATGATGCCTACATCTGTTTTGCTGCAATGTTCAAGCGTATCCACGAGAACTTTGGTGAGTGGTGTGACGGAGCACTGAACAAATTGGAACGATTGCGTCACCTTTGTGAAGTTCTTGATCCACAACTCTACCGCCATCTCTGTGACAGTGGTACCGGTGACGACCCTTTCATTTTATTCTTTGGAATGTTACTCATTGAGTGTCGTAGAGAATTCAGTTTTGACGAGACACTGCATTTACTTGAAGTCATGTGGTGTGCTGCCTTTCCACGGCAAAAAGAGACACACGTTCCTCAATTTGAGTGGGCGTGTTTCATGACCAACGTCTCGGCTGAGCTGGTGAAAGAAGTCTTTACGAGTACATGTAATCCTCCTTACTCTGCTGAAAGGCTCCAGTCTCTGAGTTTGACACTGCCACCAGTTTCAAGTAGTCACTGTCACTCTATTGCAACCACGCCTTCATCCATGCCTGTCGATATCCCGTATCAAAATTCCTTGTCCAACGAATGTCATTCCAACGATGAGAGAGAACCAAAGCTACGTGGTAGACTCTCCTCAGAGCTTTCTCCTGGGAGGGACAGAGCATCGAGCCTACCTGATTCCAAGGAGTACCTAGTCATTGATGCTAAGGATGCACCTCCTTTACAGTCAACAAAAAGTGAAGGTGACATACCCACTGATGAAGAAGAGAAGAATGACATAGTTAGCGACTTAGAGTCCAGTCTAGCCCACACAGTGAACAAGAAACTGAAGGGAAATAACGAAATGTCTGATCTCTCTTCTGTCTCTAGTATCAACACTGCCAGTAGTAATGGTGTTGCTCGTCAAGCTAATAATGACGGAGCCTTTCCTAGTCCACGATTAACACGAAATAATGGAGCTGCTCTACCTCAGGCTAGTCATGTGGAAGGCCCTGGGACAGAAGAAGACAAGTCCACTACTGTGATAGCTGAAGGTGAAGATGTGAATGAAAGAAGCTTAGAAATACCGAAGTGTGTTAGTGATACAGCACTGAGAGATTATGAAGACACTCAATTTGATATCTCTACACGAGTAAATGACGATCGTTCTCTTACTCCTCCAGTGAAATCGAAAGAGGATGGAGCTAAGAAGAAATACCACACACTCCCTAGAGAGAGGCAGAGATTTGAGGATTCAGAAACCGGGACTTATGGCCGTGAGAGCCATTCGTTGAGAGCATCCTCTCCTTCTCACTACCTCATACATCAGTTAGTATCAGGTACGTCATCTCCCTATGTGTCCGGTATTAATCCCAGGGGATTGAGACGAGATAGAAATCGTGGAGAATTATTGGAGAGTTCAGTGTTGCCTCAGAACTCTGGCAGTGGGGGTGAGAGCAGGAGACTGTTTACTATCAAGAGAGGAGGGGACTCGCCTTACCTTTCTCGCTCTAGATCCGGTTCGTCCGTTGCACCTCATACACCAACCAGTGGGATATTTGAGCCTGAAATATTTGCAGAGAATAGAGGGGAAAGAGCTGGTTTAGTAGCTGCAGACGAAAATGTTGTTTCGTCTCAGTTAGTTTCCAGTGAAAGAGCAAGACCAGACATCAACCTTGAATCTAGTCTCAAATATAAAATGTCTGACTCTTTCTCGCTCTTTGTGTGCCTTTCGATCCTTCTCTCTCATCGTGAAGCTCTATTATCAAGGCCAGTTGATTTTGTGACCTTATCTCTAATACTCTCATCGGACTCTATTAACTCAATGTTCAAGCCTATTCTACGAACATCTCACCAGCTCTATGCCTGCTATCGAAAGTATTTGGAATTGTCTAAGTACACCCGATCCTCTGGTAGCAGCGATGACAAGTGGTTAGATGATTTTGGGGAACTGCCGGAAGAAGCTGCCATGCCCCCAGACTCACCTCTAAGGATATCGCCTGCCACAAGTTGCTCAATTAATAACTATGACAGTTGACACATGTAATCAGCTACAATAATAATAATAATAATAATAATAATAATGTGCATTGTACATGTACGTAAAAATTTATTTGCTTCTAATAATTATAATTCTGTTTCAAAAATTTATTATAATTATATATTTCTGTTTTGAAAATAATTTATTATAATTGTATATTTCAGAAAAAATCTTTCAAGTTAGCATACAGTGAAGTAACAAAGCATCAGAGATGACACTTAGTGCAATAGCAACTAATTTATTGACACCTCTTCACAACTCACTCCATGTAACAGAAAGATTATTATACTGTATAGCTGTACAGTTGGAAATATTTGTTGGAATTTGATTTTGCTGTTTATCATAAAAACACAAATTATTGTGCTCTGCAAAGCATTAGAGGTAATTGGTTGTTTGGTATCAACAGTTCACACCTACACCAGCAAAGTTCAATTCTAAGTCACAACACTAACTAGTGGAGCAGCTACTTCTCTATCTATATGATGGCACTTATGAATCGTGCTCCACAAACTCTTAATTGAGAACTATCAATTTGTGATGGGTGCTCTTATGTTGTGTAGAAAGTTTGAGCCAATTTTGATCAAAATCGGATGTTATATGAATTTTTAAAGTTGCTCTTCTGTATGGCATTTTGTAGACTATGTCAAATAAGAAGTTTTTAAGCATAAATCCATGTAGTTACAGTGTCTTTTTGTCTACCTCAAATTTTGACCATATCACCATAGTATTATTGCTTTGTTTATTTAAAAAAATTAATTAATGTGCATTCCCATGCCATTATGGATTTCTGATTGGAGCTACAATTATTTAAAATTTTTGCATATATGTGATTAAACTATAATTAGAATTTAATTTCAATTTTTTTAAGTGTTTACTGTTTCCTGTTTTGTAGAAGATATATATCTACCTCAAATTACAGACATACAATAAATAAAGTACAAATAGAGTATTTATAAATGATTAATGGAAAGGTTGATCAATATTATACATATTGTTATGAGAGGCTATTAATACATGTAATGTTTGGTACATGAATGTTAATTAAATATCTAGCAACACCCATTTTATTGCATTCCTTTCATTTTTTTGGATAATCATGAGAGCAGCAACTCTTCTTCTCTTTCTCACACTAGCTGTTCCTCCTTCTTTGATTAATTCTCAGTCACTCATCTCTTCATCTCTATCTAGTACAGTGACTCATATTGCTGTTAGTGCTAATGGAGTCTTTGTAAGCACTGCTACTCAAGTATACCGGTTCTCTTGTACTCTACAACAATTAGAAGGCTCTCCTGACACTCCTGGTGGTACTGTTAATGGAATAGCTAGTACACCTGATGGTGAGTGGTGTGTAGTGTGTACTGATGCTGGTGGTGTAACATGTTCTGTTCTTAATGGATCTAATCTTGAAGCTCCTGCTAATAGAACAGATAGTCTTAATAGTGCATTGGCTACTAGTCTAGCAGTGTTTACTGGAGGAGATGGTAACAGCTTTTATACAGGGAGCTATGTTAGTAACCGTATTCTATATCATCAGTATGGGTTTGCTGGTAGTACACAGTCAAGATCTACTAATCCTGTACATCAACAAGCTTCAGGAGGTTTTAATCGTGTATTTGTGAGTGGTTTCTTTGCCTCGGGGTATGCTTATTATGTTGTGAATGATCCTCCAACAAGTGGTGCTAACAGACGGCTTCGTATAATAAGAGTATGCAATGATAGTGCAGCTACTGATTTCAACAATCAATATGAACTGACTTTAGGTTGTGATGGTAGTGTTACTTTTTTTAGTCCTACTCTGATTGATGTGTCTGTTATTAATGAAGAGACATTGTTAATTGCATTACGTGATGATTCATTTAATGATATATGTTCATACAGTCTGTCTGAGATTAACTCTTTAATGGATGCTGCTTATAAATCATGTGTAGTTGATGGTAATGGTAATAAAAATATCTTTTGGCAGAATTTTATATCATGTTCTGGAGGATCGCCTGGATTAGATGGAAGTATTGTGAGTTTTAATCTATACTGTACTTTATATAATTGTATCTTCTAACAGTGTAGTATATCTGATTCAAGAAGTGGTACTCCTGCTCCAGCAGTTGGTGTATCAAACCCTCTCACTCCCACTGGTCTAATTACTAACACTACTATACTGAATGGATTAACTGCTATTGTTGGGTTGTCAATTGATGATACTGATTTAATTTACTTTGCATTTACAATAAGTACCAATAATTACATCAATAAGGTTAGTAGTTGTGTTATAGTTTTTATACAATTTGACATGAATCCTACAGTATTGCTTGGTCAATAGTACAACCCTTAAATTTATATCTCAAGTTACATCAACCTCTTCACTTATATCATTATCTTGGTCTCAAGGTTCAGAGTATGTGTATGGAATTAGTGGTTCTAATGTAAGTATAATGATCAGTATGTACTAGTGTTGTTGATGTAAGTGTTTATAGATACATACTGTATAGCGGGAAATTTTTGAGGATAACAAATTTCGCAAATTTCGCAGATTTTTTTCATGATTCGCGAAATTAAATTCCTTGAAAATCAATTTAATACGGTACAAAATGGCAGATTAGTGGAAATTCGTGAAAATTAATTCCGCGAACTTCCAGATACAGGTCATTCGCGAAATTTATTATCCTCAAAAAACCCGCTATACGGTAACTAAGTAATGGCTTATAAGTGATGTCAAGTATATTGGTTAGACATAAAAATGCTACTAAAATTAGGTAATGAGTCAGACCATTGTATGTTATCACAAATAATTCCCATTACTAATTACTATACCAGAATCATCAGAATGTTAATTATAAATTACTACATACTGCATTAGGTGATTGCATTAAAGACAGAGGATTGTTCCAGTGCTACTAGTTGCTCTGAGTGTGTTAGTTTAGGTGATCCATTGTGTGGTTGGTGTATGATAGAGAACAAGTGTTCACGTAGACCATTTTGTCAGGATAATGATCAAACAGGACGATACCTATCTCAAGAAGACAGTAATAATTGCTTTGATACAGTATCTATTAATCCAAGTACTTATGTAATAGATACGGAGCAGCAACCTCATCAGGTATGTATCATTAGCAATGATTTGATATTAAATTCTGACCTCCTTCTGCTTTTCTGTTTCTCTTTAGATCAATTTGACATTTTCACCAACTCCTCTTCCTCCTACATTACCAAGGGAAGGATACTTTTGTGTTTTTAATCGTATTATAAGTCCATTGGAACTATCAATGGGTACTAATACTGGTAGCTGTTCAGTACAAGATATAGTGTCTCAGGTCACTGATATACAATTAGGTAATAACTTTTATACAGTACTAATCTTTATTATTTCTTTCTTTTATGTTTTTAAACTGATATTTCTCTTCAGACACTACTTTTAGTATATACAGCAATAGAACTGGTGTAAATTTCTATATAAGACCTACTAATTATACCTTTTACAATTGTCCCACAGCATCATTAAAGTGAGTTGATGAATCTACTATATACACTTAAAGATACCACAAATGTGACTGATACTCTCATTACTATAATTTTGTTAAGTAAGTAAACAATCTATGCTTGAGTGTTGTCCAAACAATAATACATTAGGCCATTGGCAGTTTTTGAGTTGTAAAGCTGTTTTAGTTGTGTCTGCATCACAACTGAAATGATGTATAAACAACATGCCACTTAATTTGAATAACTATAGCTATAGAGCCTCAATCAGTTTATAAAGATACATCATTTTCAATTTTCATTCTATTCATTAGGTGTAGTACATGTCTTCAAAGTGAACCATGTGGTTGGTGCCAGTTAGACTTTAAATGTACTGGGCATAACTTATCATGTACTACTGGTGAATGGCTCAATGTAAGACCAGCATATCCTTTCATGGCATGACGTGCTGGTATTCTTTATAGATAAAAAACGGTGGTAGTGCTAGTAGTTTCTGTCCTTTCTTAGAGCCTAATTCTGTTACATCTGATGGTAGATATACTCAAGCAGCTAATGTTGTTAAGGATTTAACATTATCAACTAGTAATACTGGGGTATGTGCTGTAACTGTAACACACTAGCATTAATTATGAATTGTCATTAATTCTATAGTCTTCACCAGGTTTCACTTATGAGTGTGTATATGGTACTGATACTAGAACTGCTACTGTTAACAGTGACAATAGAGTGACATGTAATAATAATCCTGTGGTGAGTAACAGTTAGTAGCACTTAATGAATCGATGTTTGATAGTTCACAATTGAAGGAGGTACTCAGAAAGTCTCATTGAGTCTCAGACAAGTTTACAATGGAAATAGATATACAATAGAGACTAATGCTACTTCAAATCTCAATGGTAATTAGATCTATAATGAAATATTACAGTGCTTTATTGTAATGTACACAGTAATCTTGTATGATTGTCCTACATTGGCTAGTGGTTGCTCGTCATGCTTAGCACAGAGAATTGATACTGGATTTAGCTGCTGTTGGTGTACTAGTAATACTCAATGTAGAGACATTAGTGACTGTAGTGATGCTAGTCCAGTCATTAGTACTGGAAACTGTCCTCTACCAATGATTACTGAGTTTAATCCTAAGGCGGGACCTCCTAGAGGTGAAACAACTATCATTATTAATGGAACTAATCTGGGAACACAACGCTCTGACATAGAGTCTGTTATGATTGGTACTAGAAACTGTATTGTTGATGAATATCAACCAGGAGTAGGGATAACATGTACTACTATTGTTCCTGATTCTAGTGATAATATAGGCAGGAATGAGACTATTAGGATAAGAGTGATCAGATCCAGTGGTAGTGTGACTGTCAATAGTGCAGCACAGTACCAGTTCATAACACCAATCATTCAATCAGTGAGTACTACATATGGTCCTGCTAGTGGTGGTACTAGAATAAGAATACAAGGTACTAACTTTGATATTGGTAATAAAGAAATGACTAGAGTAATAATGAGACAATCATCATCAAGTAAGAAGGGAAACCACATGTCCTGATGTTAACTGTAATATCATGTAAGTACCAATAATGAATGTTATATGAACTATTCTGAACTAATTTAATAGGAATAATATTACTAATACTGAGATCAACTGTGTTACTAGTAGTGTTAATGATACTGACTGTGTGAGGAATGTAATAGTATCAGTCAATGGAGCTTTATTCTCTAATACTAGTATAAGCTATCAATATAGACCAGATCCTACATTTGATAGTATCAGTCCTATGGTCACAATACCAGCGTAAGTATATATACTGGTAGATACATGCTCTTACTTCTCTTTTTTAAGTGGTGGTATTCAACTAGTATTCACTGGTGATTACTTAGACTCAGTTCAGTCTCCTACTATTACTATTGCTGATAGTAGACTGATTCCTAGTAGTGTTGAGGTCAGTAGAGCATTTTTGTTCTATAGTAATGTACCTCTTTACAGCCATGTGTCATTAATGATAATACTACACTCATATGTACTGCTCCTAAAATTACTACTGCAGTAGACAGCAGTTATGGAACACCTATTGAGTACATGCTAATGTTAGATGGAGCAGAGTCACCTAATTACATGAATGCAGGTCTGAGACTAACACTACAACCTAATCCAATATTTACTGGTATTGATGCTGACTCAAGATCTATATTAGTTGATGATGTTAATGACATTACTATCAAAGTGAGTTGTAGTTTAATGCATAAATTAATACATCTGCTTTGCTAAATAGGGAATGAATGTTGGATCAGTTAGCCCATCAGAGATTAATATTACATTAGGAGACAATTATGATGAAGTGTGTACAGTTAGAACAAGCTCTAATACTGTAAGTGGTTTCTGCATATATAATACTAATATCAAAAAACCTTATAAATAGGAGATTACATGTAGGCCACCCACCAAGCCATCAGGTACCAGATTAGCACTAAGAGTAAGAATACTTTTCATTGATGCACACAGTTTCATTTTGCAACTACAGGTTAGAGTAGGAAGGAATCTAGTGTTTCCATCCAATGATATCACTGGCCCTGAATGGACACTAATATACACTAGTACTGGGTCTATTTCAATTGGAGCCATTGTTGGAGGATCTGTAGCAGCTAGTGTCATTATAACACTATTGATTGTAGCAATACCATTGATAATTGTCATTTTTATTTTAAGAAAGAAGGCAAAAGACAGCAAAGAAAAGTAAGTTAATACTAGATTACATATTTAAGTTTGCATGCATAAAATATAGGCCAATACCTCATGAAGGTAATGCAGTAATCCCAATGTCTATGAACATGAACTACCAGGGCAGCACTAACCAAGATAGCATTCTCCTTCACCAGTCCAACCCAGCATACATTAAAGCATCAGATATTCACTTATATGATGAAATACCTGCAGGACAATATGAAGAATTTGTATCTGTGAAGAAAACTAATAATGATGGTGACAATGCTAATGAAGGGAATCAAGAAGATAATGGTAGCTATGTTAGTCAAGTGAATGGAAATGATCAAGACAATGAAGATAATGAAGGTTACATTGGTACAGGAGTGATTGATGATATTACTCAAAGTTCAGAAGATAAAAGAAGCTACAAAAATATTCCAAAGTAGATGGTGATGATAATCAAAAAGATCCTTTTAAAGACTATTATTTTTGTTGCTACTACATAACAATTTCTCACTGTATTTAATATGTATTGTTTCCTTGTATGCCTAAAACTTCTAGTTTAGTTCAAAAAAGTATTTTGCTAAGTAGCCCTAATTGATGTTGATTAATGAATTTTAACACAATAATTTTACTACAAAATTTTAACTCTTGTGTAGGAGCTGACTCTAATGATATCACAAGTACATGAACTCTTAATGATTCTAAAGTACATGTACTCTTCATGACTCCAAAGTACATGAACTCTACTGATATCACAAGTGCATGTACTCTTAATGATATTCATTAGAAAATATTTAATTTTGTAGTGCAAATCAGTATGGTGGTCTCTTCTCTTCTCCTATTCTTTCTGAGTATACTAGGATCAAGTAATGCTGTCTTGCAGTATCAATTACAAAATGATACTCTCTCTACTTGCCTTGTACTGAGTGATGGATCCCTCTTGATTGGTACAGCCAGTCACATTATAAAGTTAAACTCTGACAGTTTAACAGTAAACTCATCTCTTCCATTGAACACTACTACTAATCAACTATTGTTGCTCCTCAATGATACTGGACTCAGTCAGTATGTTCTCTCTTGTCAGGAGCAAGAGTGTTTTCTTCTTAATCCTAATGACCTCACTAGCACAGTCAGTGTGTCTACAAGCCCTACTCCTTCAACATTTCTATTTCCAACAACACCTGACATGCCAGGACTTCATACTGAAGGCAGGAACTTCTTTGTTGGTAAAGATGCTGCTTCACCTACTACTTCGTCAATCAGTAAACTACAGTATTCATCCTCTGGCTCTCAGCTACAGATTGTACTGGTTGGAAGTCAACAAGAACGCGCTATTAATTTAGCTAGAAATTTTCTAGCTAATTTTCAGCAGAATGAATTCACATACTATGTATTTGTCCTTTCCAGTTTTGACTATAAGCTACAAATAGCAAGATTATGTAGCAGTGATACTGGAATCGAGGAGGATAATGTGTTAGCGTTAACAACATACACTGAAGCAGAGTTACAGTGTAACGAAATGATGAATCCTGATTCAATTACAGCAGCTACCTTTGTACAGTATAGTGGAGAATCAATGATTATGGTATCAATGAGGAGTGGCAGCACTAATATCATATGTGCATTCAATGTATCAGAAATTAATAGAAGAATGGATGATAAGCTATTCTCATGTAAAAACGGGCAGGGTACATTGTCTTTAAAAAGGAATAGTGGTAGTGTTGCTTGCCCATACAATTTAGAACCAGCTCAGAAAGATGTAAGTGGAATTAGTCTTACTTGTATTATAATAATGAGTCATTGTAGGCAATTACACCATGCAATAGACCAGGGCAATTTATTGTTCCATTTGAAGTAGATAGTCCTACATTTGGGGTCAGAGTTGCTTTCACATCTGAACTATTTTTACTTAATAGTTTTGCATTTGAAGACATTGTGTATCTATATGCTGGCTCTCATCAAGCAATTGAACAGGTAAGTATTGATTCCAAAAAAATGATTTTTATTTGATTATGATAGTACTATTTCACACCTGAAAATTTGTTAATTCCAATTCGCAACATCACCACAACAACTACTGAACAAGTGAATAAGATTGAGTTTTCTCCAGATGGGGAATATTTATATGCTCTCTCAGCAACACAAGTGAGTGATCATTTGCTGCATTAACATGTGAATAAACATTAATTAACAGGTTGTTAAAGTAAAAGCTACATTCGATTGCTCAATTATAACAAATTGCTCTGAATGTGTTGTCCGTTTTCGCTGTGGTTGGTGTGCCAGTTAGACTTTAAATGCACTAGGCTTAACTCAGGATGTACTACTGGTGAATGGCTCAATGTGAGTACACAGGTTGTTCCTGTCTGCATGTTTTTAATTTAGTATGGATTACCGTATAGCTGGTAATTTTTGTGGCGCTTTATTTTCGTGATTTTCGTGGTTTTGAGGCTTTCCACGAAATTAAAACCCACGAAATCATTGAAGTGCCATCCCCTTACAGGCTATGTAAACTGTCAACCACGAAAATTAAACCACGAATTGCCCCACTAGGAGCAAACCACTAAAATTTAGACCCACGAAAATAACCCAGTATACGGTATATGTTTAGAATGAGAATGGAACGAATGATGGATTTTATTGGCAGATGCTCACCCTGCCAATATTAATTCGGACCAATACAGTATATCTTACATGGCACACTTGGTTTGAATTGATGTTAGCCTTTGACCATCGGTGTCCAGTTCCCATTGTTGAATCATTGCTAAGACATTTCTTTAATCTGATTTTTTTAGATTACAAATCAAGCTACAGTTGCTACAGATGTATGTCCTTATTTACAACCTAATTCTGATGCATCTGGTGGAAAATATACTCAACCAGTTACTGTTGCTAAAAATTTGACCATATCTACAATCAATACCCCAGTAAGCCAGACTATAATGGTACTTATAACTTATTACTGAATTTTTATACATGTAGTTTCTACCTGGCCTCAGCTATGAGTGTGTATATGGTACTGATACTAGAGCTGCTACTGTTAGCAGTGTCGACAATAGAGTGACATGTATTAATAATCCTGTGGTAAGTAATTAACAGTAGAATATTTAGTAATAATGAATTGGTTGATAGTTGACAATTGGAGGAGGAGGTAGTACTCAGAATGTCTTACTGAGTCTCAGACAAGTTTACAACGGAAATAGATATACAATAGAAACTAATGCTACTGCAAATCTCAATGGTAAATATAATGAATATTATAGTATTTAATTATAAGGTACACAGTTATCTTGTACAATTGTCCTACATAAGCCCTTGGTTGCTCATCATGCTTAACACAGAGAATTGGTACTGGATTTAGCTGCAGTTGGTGTACTAGTAATACTCAATGTAGAGACATTAGTGACTGTAGTGATGCTAGTCCAGTCATTAGTACAGGAAACTGTCCTCTACCAATGATTACTGACTTTAATCCCAAGGCAGGACCTCCTAGCAGTGGAACAACTATCATTATTAATGGAACTGATTTGGGTACACAACGCTCTGACATAGAGTCTGTTATGGTTGGTAATAGAAACTGTATTGTTGATGAATATCAACCAGGAGTATGGATAAAATGCACCATTGATCCTGATACTAGTGATAATGCAAACAGGAATGAGAGTATTACAGTAAGAGTGACCAGATCCAGTGGTAGTGTGGCTGTCAATAGTTCAACACAGTACCAGTTCATAACACCAATCATTCAATCAGTGAGTCCTACATATGGTCCTGTTAGTGGTGGTACTAGAATAAGAATACAAGGTACTAACTTTGATATTGGTAATAAAGAAATGACAAGAGTAATAATGAGACAATCATCAAGAAAGAAGAGAAATACATGTCCTGATGTTAACTGTAATATCACGTAAGTATGCCAATAATGAATGTCATATAATTATTGTGACATTAATAGGAGTATTATTAATACTGAAATCAACTGTGTTACTAGTAGTATTAATGATACTGATTGTGTGAGGAATGTAATAGTATCAGTCAATGGAGCTTCATTCTCTAATACTAGTATAAGCTATCAATATAGACCAGATCCTACATTTTATAGTATCAGTCCTATGGTCACAATACCAGCGTAAGTATATTCTGGTAGGTACATACTCTTTATATTATACTCTCATTCTTTAGTGGTGGGATTTAACTAGCATTCACTGGTCGTAACCTAAATTCAGTTCAGTCTCCTACTATTACTATTACTGATAGTAGACTGATTCCTAGTAGTGTTGAGGTCAGTATATTATATGCTTGTCCTAGTTGTAATTTATCTCTTCACACAGCCTTGTATCACTAATGATATTAAAACTTCTTTGCTGATATGTAATGGTCCTCGCATTACTAATGTGATAGACAGTTACTATGGAACGTGTATTGAGTACATGCTAATGTTAGATGGAGCAGAGTCACCTGATTTTACGAATGCATATCTGAGACTAACACTGCAACCTGATCCAATAATTACTGGTATTAATGCTGATTCAAGATCTATATCAGTTGACGATATTAATGAGATTACTATTATGGTAAGTTATAAGGTATATAAAGACTAATAACTGATGTCTTTGTTAAATAGGGAATGAATGTTGGATCAGTTAGCCCATCAGAGATTAATATTACATTAGGAAGCAATGATGACGATGTGTGTACACTTAGAACAAGCTCCAATACTGTAAGTGGTTTCTCCATATAATACTAATATCAAAAACCTTATAAATAGGAGATTACCTGTAGGCCACCCACCAAGCCATCAGGTACCAGATTAGCACTAAGAGTAAGAATATTCCTCATTGATATACACAGTCTCATTTTATGTACCTACAGGTTAGAGTAGGAAGAAATCTCGTGTTTCCATCCAATGGTACCACTGGCCCTGAATGGACACTAGAATATACTAGCACCAGTATTGAGTCTAGTACTAGCACTGGGTCTATTACTAGTACTATTATTACTACTATGACTACTACTACTGGCCCTACTAGTACCAGCACTAGTGCTCCAAGTTCTACTTCAATTGGAGCCATTGTTGGAGGATCTATAGCAGCTAGTGTCATTATGACACTATTGATTGTAGCAATACCATTAATATTCGTCATTTTAATTTTACAAAAGAGAACAAAAGACAGCAAAGAAAAGTTAGATATTATAGATTACATATTTAAGTTGTGCTTATACAATCTTCTCTTGAATATAATAGGCCAATACCTCATGAAGGGAATGTAGTAATGCCAATGTCTATGAACATCTATCAGGGCATCACTAGCCAAGATAGCAACCTCCTTCCCCAGTCTAACCCAGCATACGTTAAAGCATCAGATATTCACAAAACACCTGCAGGCAAGAATGAAGAATTTGTATCTGTAAAGAAAGCTAATAATGATGATGATGATGATGCTAATCAAGTGAATCAAGAAGATCAAGATAATGAAGGTCACATTGATACAGGAGTGATTGATGATATTGCTCAAAGTTCAGAAGATAAAGGAAGCTACAAAAATATTCCAAAGTAGATGGTGATGATAATTAAAAAAATTATTTTTGGTAAACTATTATTTTTATTACTACTACATAATTTCTCGCTGCATTTAATACATTTTGTTTCCTTGTATGCCTAGATACTTGCATTTTAGTTCAAAAATTAATTATTTTGTTGAGTAGTATATTACACTTGACATGTACCTTAAAATTTAAATTAGTCATTTCCCTCTTCATCCTCAGCCAAGAAAAACTAGACAACTGACTGTAAATGTACTTTAACTATTAAATAATTGAACTGTCCAGATTACTTTTCTCTTGCTCAACCAATGCTTTTGCAACTTCATAACACTATCAGGCACCTCATACAGTATAAAGTGCCTGATAGTGTTATGAAGTTGCAAAAGCATTGCTGAGAGAGAGAGAGAGAGAGAGAGAGAGAGAGAGAGGGAGGGAGGGAGAGATAATAAATAATAAATTAATAAACACAACTACAATTTTGCATAAAAGTACTGCAAAAGTTATAATTTTCAAGAATCAAAATGAATAATGAAGCTTATTTTTTACTGGAAAGTCCATTAAAGAGTTAAATCTTTGTTGCACAAATTTTTGCAATATCATGCAACAAAAATACATGCTAAATCTGTAAAGTTTGTGTTTGCTAAATTTCCTGATCACAAAACCAGTAAAATTACATATACAGCAGATGTACATGTACATGTGTATTACCAAGCGCTAGCGCTTGGTATGTAGGGTTGAGTTGGACGAGCGCCCCCCCAAAATGGCTGCCATCCCAGAATTATTGAGCCTGTGTAAATCTTCAGGAATTCTTTATAGCTTATCTGACAGTCAAGATTTCCTTTATAATTTTATTGAAAAAGGTTAGTGTTATAAAAAGTAGCTAAAAACTTCCACAAGATAGTTTTACGGCAATGAATGCATGCATGCCTGCATGCACCAAATGTTCAGGTTTCTCCTTCTTCTTCTTCTTCTTCCACAGTTTTTATCCTAAAAAGATAATTTTTGCACCATTCTGTTGCGCTTAATGGACGCTAGTGCAGCGGTGTGGTTTGGCATTTTGATTCTACAAAATGATTTCTCGTCGTTATTTTCAAGTACACAGTTGATTCACCAAGTGATTGGACGCCATTTTGATGCAGCCAACTGCGCATGCTCAGTAATGATTATTATAATGGCTGGAACTCGCTGGAACTGGAAGAGCCTTTTACAATTACTGACGGTACTTACTGACTGATTTGTGATGAAATTAAGATGATGTGCATGCCTAAAGACACGACTATCTACTGACACCACTCGCTTCAAGTGAGAGAAATTATTCTAAATAAACATCAATAATTTTATTCTTTAGTTACTATGACTACACTGAGGCTCAAGTTCTGTGTTTATGATTTATGTACGGTATAATGTACCTCATTTTACTTAATCTCTTCTAGTAAAGGTAAGTATATAGAGTAAATTGTTGGTTTTATGCTGAGTAAAGCATTCTATATGTTAAAGGGTGGGGCTTAAACGCCCTCTTCATGTCATAGATTTACTCTATTATCTATGCCTATGGCAACTTGTGTGGACCATGCCCTACTACAAACATGTATTATATTTAAGCCACTCCAAATAGATTCGCTTACCCATTTTATGCCACATGGTCCCCCATCACTATTTGTTATACTTTAAGTAATGTTACAGCTGCTAATATTCTCGATA